TATGCGAGAGTTGGTTGGGCGACATGTTGATGATGCTTTCCACTATTTGTTTGGAAAAGATAGGAAAGTCTTTAGTGGTGGTGTGCCAAAGGTTCTTGCCACAGAGAAATCTGACGAGGGATGCCAGATAGCTCAAAAAATAATCACCGGATTAATGGAATGCATCAGGCATACAGGTGGTGCTGCACAGGAAGGCGATCCATCCTTGGTGTCTTCTGCTGTTTCAGCTATTGTTGGTAATCTGGGTTCAACTGTGTCTAAGATGCCTGATTTTATAGTTGGAGGTGGCTCAAATTTTCCATCCGCTTCTGGTTCATTGGACTTTGCCAGACGCATTTTATGCATTCATATTACCTGCCTATGCCTACTCAAGGAAGCTCTAGGAGAGCGTCAAAGCCGTGTATTTGAGATTGCTCTTGCAACAGAAGCCTTTTCTGCATTTGCTGGAGTTTATCCTCCTGGGAAGACATCAAGGTCTCAGTTTCAATCATTAGCAGATCCCCATGATTCTAACACTCATGTCTTTGGTGATAACTCAAAAGTAATGGTTGGTAGAGCTACAAAAGTTGCAGCAGCTATTTCTGCACTTGTCATTGGGGCAGTTATTCAGGGGGTTTGTAGTCTGGAACGGCTTGTAACACTCTTTAGGTTAAAAGAGGGGTTAGATTTTATTCAATTTGTTAGGGCTACTAGGCCAAATGCAAATGGCAACACCCGTACAATTGGAATGCACAAGATTGAAAGCTCCATTGAGGATTATGTGCATTGGTTTAGATTGCTTGTTGGAAATTGCAGAACTGTGTTTGATGGGTTGATTGTTGAGCTACTAGGTGAGCCATCTATTGTGGCCCTTTTTAGAATGCAACGGTTGCTTTCACTTAGCTTGGTCTTACCTCCTGCCTATTCTATATTCTCATTTGTAGCATGGGGCCCTTTTATCTTGAATTCTGCTGTTACAGCTCGTGAAGATGTGAACCAACTGTGCCAATCTTTAACAATTGCAATTGGCGATATTGTAAGACATTTTCCATTCCGAGATGTCTGTTTAAGGGACAGTCAGGGATTCTATAACCATTTGATGGTAGATACCAGCGATGTTGAATTTGCTTCTATACTGGAGTTAAATGGTTCTGATATCCCCTTGAAGTCCATGGCCTTTGTTCCTCTACGTGCAAGGCTTTTCTTGAATGCTATTATTGATTGTAAGTTGCCAAGTTCTATGTATAATCAAGATGATGGGAGTAGGATTTCAGGAGTTGGTGATGGTAAGGGCCAGTATTCTGAGAGAAAAATGAAGCTTCTGGACAGGCTTGTACATGTTTTGGATACCTTACAACCTGCTAAGTTCCATTGGCAGTGGGTGGAACTTAGGCTTCTTTTGAACGAACAAGCCATTATTGAGAAACTTGAGATGCTTGAGACACGAGATATGTCTTTAGCCGATGCTGTTCGTTTGCCATCGCCAAGTCCTGAAAAAGTTGCTGCTTCTGATAATGAGAAGAATTTTATTGAGATTATCCTAACAAGGTTGTTGGTCAGGCCAGATGCTGCATCTCTTTTTTCAGATGTGATTCATCTCCTTGGCCGTTCTCTTGAAGATTCAATGTTGTTGCAGACGAAATGGTTTCTAGGAGGTCAAGATGTCCTATTTGGAAGGAAATCAATTCGACAGAGGCTAACTAATATTGCTGAGAGTAAAGGTTTATCAACTAAAACCATGTTTTGGAAGCCTTGGGGTTGGTGTCTTTCTGGCTCGGATACTTCCTATCTTGAAGAAGGAGAGGTTGTCGAAGAAGGCACTGACTCTAGAAAGTATAGCCAAAAGTCTGTCCAAATGCTTGACGATGAAGTCTTGAATTCCAGTCAGCAGTTTGTGACTGAGAGGGCTCTTATTGAATTAGTTCTTCCATGCATAGATCAAAGCTCTGAAGAATCACGCAACACCTTTGCTAACGATTTAATTAAGCAGTTGAATAATATTGAGCTACAAATAAATTCAGTTACTTCAGGGACAAGTAAACAAACAGGACCTTTGCCCTCAGGGATTGAGGGCTCTGTAAGCAAAGGAAGTAGTCGCAAAATGAAAGGTGGCAGTCCAGGACTGGCTAGACGATTAGCTGCCTCAACAGATTCTCCTCTACCCTCCCCTGCAGCTTTGCGAGCATCAATGTCATTGCGTTTACAATTATTATTGAGATTACTTCCTGTCATCCTCGAAGATAGGTAAATTTAGAATTGATGACACACACACACACCCACATTTGCTTTCAAGAGGAGGATGGCTTGTGAGAACAGTGTTGCTAACTATCTTTGATAGTTCCATTTCCATTTTATGCTTATGTTTTGTTTGAAATGTATGCCTGATTTGTTAACATTAAATATTGTTTACATTTGTCAATACTTTTGAAATTCTTTTCTTCGTTGCTGCTTCTTTGTGGTTCTTCATGGTTTACTAGAGTCTGCAGCATTGATTTCATTCCAAGTTCTCCAGCGTCCAAATTACATTTTAGTTTTTCTCAAATTTTGTTCCTTTTTCAGGGAGCCATCAGGACGGAACATGAGGCATATGCTTGCCTCTGTTATCCTTCGTCTTCTTGGAAATCGAATGGTTCATGAGGATGCATACCTTACCTTTTGTCCCACCCACAGTTCGATGGTAAAGAAGGAAGTAGAGTCACCTTCCGAAGCTTCATATTCTGTATTTGCAGATTTACCAGGTGAAAGTCTTTTTGCTAGGATGTTATTGGTTCTACATGGGCTTTTGAGCAGTTGCCAGCCAAGTTGGCTAGGTTTGAAGACTGCTGCAAAGTCGACCAATGAAACAAGCAAGGACTCTAGTGCTCTTGTTCGTGAACTGGCTGAAAGTTTACAGGTTAGCCCTCAAGTAACGTTATTCTTCAATCTTAACTTCACAAATAAATTTTTACCCTCCTTAACACACAAACAGAAGAAGATTGTTGTGAAATATAGTCAGCTTACTAGGTTTCTGTACCGACATGCTAGATCAATCTTTTGACTGTTGGAATGAAACATGGGCCTACTTATTTCTAATATTGAAGAACCTCTTGCATTTTGTTTCTGTTGAGAGAGGGAAAAGGAGCGTGATGTTTTAGTTGTCTACTAGCCCCACGATATAGATATCTAGCATTAGTTGATCTCTTCTGGATTCTATGTGAAAAAGTAGAGCCTATATCAAAGCCAAAAAAAATCACTAGGGATGCTTTTCATTTTACCCACTTGATGGTGAAGGAAATCTAATGTCGTACTTATGAGTTTTGAATTAATTTATTGATACAGAATGAATTGCACGTTATGCAACTACCTGATATGATTAGATGGCGCATCCAAGCCGCAATGCCAATTCCACTTCCTCCTGGTCGGTGCTTTTTATCTTACCAGCCACCAACAATATCCCTTTCTGCCCTTTCTGCCCTTTCTTCATTTCAATCCAGCCCTTCCACACATGGGATTGGTTCTGGAAATAGTAGCAGCATGCCTCAAGGGAGCAAGATGTCATCGCCCCGAGTTGTTCCTAGCGCACCTGGAAAGTCAAAATCTTTGCCACCACAGCAGGATTACGATACAGAAATTGACCCTTGGTTGCTTCTAGAAGATGGTGCTGGATCAAGTCAATCTTCCAGCAATGCTGCTGTAATCGGCGGTGGTGAACATGCAAATTTCCGAGCATCATACTGGCTAAAAGGGGCAGTGCGGGTGAGACGGACGGATTTGACATACATCGGCGCAATGGATGACGACAGCTAATCTTTGATTTACTTATCTTTTTGTTTTATCTGGAGCTAGCATCCCCCCCTCAGCAGGTAAGATTTTGCTTCCCTTTATTGCCCATGAATGGCATCAAGATGGTAACCTTGTGCTCATTTGAAGATGAAAAAGTGATCTGTTGAGACGGTGAAATTTTTTTATGGGGTGTTGGGACCATCGTGGAGGTAAATTTAAACAAAAAATGATGCTCCCACACCATCCATGCTACAGGGTGTCGGCCTAGCTTGGATTCTAACCCTTCAATTGACCTCCATTCGGACCTGCAGGGCGCGGTTCGGAGGCTTCTTGTATATATAGAGATTAATTGTTTCACTTCACTGATTTATCCAAATGAGAAAAATCATAATATGATCTGTTAGTTGCATACCCCCATTACTCTCCCCCCTTTCTCCAGATAAGCTTTGTAGAGATATATATTTGATGTCATTTCTAGTATTTTGTGAACTAGACAGACTGCCATTCCTTGGTTATTGGTTATCTTAACTCTGTTGGAATTGAGAGGTTCTTCCTACTGTGTCATATACCACCACGCCCCACAATTTTGACTTCTTTTTTTCAGTTTGCATTTATGCCTCTGCCCAGTTGAGTTCCTGCAGGCTTTCAAACAATTTTTTTTTTTTTTTTTTTTTTTTTTGGGGGGGGGGGGGAAAAAGCATTCAGGAAGTTGCAGTTTGGCTTTCGTATATGTATTTACGGTCGGTAGGCCAATGTATGTATTTTTGTATTTTTAGTCATTTTTTTTCATTCAACTTTTGAGAAATAGTCTTTCAGATGGTTTAGTATTGGCTGCTATTGGTATTTTCATCTTTCAAATTTGTAAAGTAAAATACTTGTTTGCATCTTTTTTTTTAGTGGGAAGTTTATTCTAATCCTTCTTTTAGATAAACAGTGTGCTTTCACCACCTTGTTTGAGTTCTGATGTATACATTGATTATATTATATGAAAGAGGGTGATGAATATTATTTATAAAAAACTAAATTATATGAATTATGGAATGATGCAAATTTATCTGTTGAAAAAGAATTTCTAATGACCAAATATCAGTGCCTGATGATACAAGTAATATTTCTCGATTCTCTGCTCTAATTCGAGTATTGATTTCTCATTGATATTGATTGTCTGTTCTAATTCGAGTATTGATTAGTGGATAGAGTATCATTGTAAAGTGGTCGATGTCGCCCCTATAGTGTTGATATGTGAACCATAACAACTCTTTGAATGCAATACGATCCATTGGACATCTTTTTTATTACGAAGAAGAAAATTCAAATAGAAATTGAAAATGTTGTTCTCGACCTGACATAATATCATGAGTTCACTGTTGTTTTTGACCGCTGGAAAAAGTCTTGTGGCCAAAGAGGCACAATAACTTTAACCATACATTTCTCCACAAGTTCATAACCTTGCCATAGATCAGTTTCCTTTCCTGCTTCACATCTGCAATGAACTCTCTTGCTTCCATCTGAACTATTTCTTCCTGAAGTATAGAGATTGCAGTAACTTACAAGAAAAACTATTCTGGTGGATATAATGAAATTTTGTATATAAATCTTACTTTGGTGAAAAATTTGAATCCTATCTTTATTTCTCCTTTGTAAGTGTCGTCCTCCTCGAGCACGACGTTGTATGGAGCTGGCCGAACTTCTATGAATCCTCTTTCGTATCCCTCTGAAATTATTCCACCAAGGTGGATTCTGCTATTTTCGTGTCGAAATATGTAAAACATGGAGAAAAATTTTGCTCAAAGAAATAAGCAGAAGTATGAAAGATTCATACAATATTGCACCAACAGATTCATTGCTCAGAAATTTTATTTCCATGATTCTGAATTTGATATGAGTTATGTTCTTCCAATCAGATGAAGGGAGTTCAAATGAAAACTTCTCATTCCAACAAACCTTCTCATGTTTACCTGTGTCCACAGAACATAGTGAAAGCCCTGACCATGGAAGCATTAGAAATTACCACACGAGAAAAGGGCAGAGGGGAGCCAACCTGACGATACTTTTGTTCTATGTTCCTGATTTCCACATTCTACCATCACATAATATGCCCGGGAACCTAAAACGAGAAGCAAATCCGAGCATATGAATGAGACGCTAATAATCATTTCAAAGGTCAACGGATCGATGCAATTGTTAAACTAAAAAAAAAAAAAAAATGCTCTAAACGGACAAAAAGTACTTCTCGGGTTGAGCCTCAACCCGAGTTAACATTAGATAATACCAAACAGATTGGTGTGTTTGATGTCTCTGGCATTGACAAGAAGCACTTCAAGAATCCCACCCTTCATGAATTTTACGTATTGAATAGGTTGAAGTACCAAGACCATAAATAGATAGGTTATGTTATGGAGTGGTGATGTTTCAAGTAAATAAAAAACTACCAAGACCATCAATTCCATTGAAATTCAAGATAACTCAGAACATTTAATGGAATTCAATGATCATCAATAACATGGATGCGTTGAAGTTACTACTCAGCTGTATGAATTACCTCATAAATTTCCCTGCATCCATCAGTTTTTCAATTGGATTCTTGATATGGAAATGAAAAGCAACCTTCCTTTTCCAATCCACACTGAGCACAGTTCCAACTGGAATAAAGCAGAGTAAGCTCTAATTGATGCCTAGAAAAGTTCATCGGAGTGATTCCTTATCACTAGGGCGGTGTGTTCTTACCTTTTTCTTTAGCCAATAGCTAAGTTTTTTCGCAATTCTATATAGTTTAGGTTGAATCATTCAAACTTGATAAGATCAATCTTGCTTGTGAAGTGATCCAAATCTAAAACAAGTGTTTTTGCCTTGGGATATTCGATCCACAAGATAATTCTCCTACCAACAACTTCAAAGATCTAATTGATGCCTCAAAATGTCTACATTTTAAATACATATCCATGAGCGAGTTCTGGATATTAACGTTAGAATAGAAATCCATTCCCATTGAAAACACATGTATCTCGTTACCCAAAGATAGAACCATAAGTAACATCTCAATCCCACCGTTAGCAAATATTATCCTTTTTGGGCTTGTTCTCTGGACTTCCTCTTTTGGGCTTCTTCCCAATGTTTTTAAAATGCATCTGTTATGAATAAGTTTTCACGCTCTTACAAAGAATATTTCGTTCCCTCTCCAACCGATGTGGGATCTCACAATCCACTCCCTTGGGGTCCAGCGTCCTCGCTGGCACACTGCTCCATGTCTGGCTCTGATACCATTTGTAATAGTCCAAGCCCACCGTTAGTAGATATTGTCCACCTTGGCCCGTTACATATTGCGGTCAGCCTGACGGTTTTGAAACGCCTCTACTAGGGAGATGTTTCCACACCCTTATAAGGAATGTTTCGTCCTCTCTCTCCAACCGAGGTGGGACCTCACAAAAACACAAAAATCAGCACAAGCAGGTAGAATTCTTACAATGCTTACATGTCTGGCTGAGCTCCCTGATTGTGCATCCCTATGAAAAGATCCAAAGCTTCACTATTCTGACCATATTTCAAGAATGCCATGATCATGGCACTCCACGCATTGTATAAAACCCAAGAATGGCTAACGAAATCCTGCTACTTCTAACACAAAACCCATTTGGATCACTCCTCCATGCACCACCTTCAATAATTGAATCCCAGCTTAACGCATCAATAGCTCTTATTACGCTCAGCATCATCACATGATTTGGCCTGAGCCCATTTGCGAGCATCATATTGAAGAAGGCAAAAACAGATTCTGGCTGTCCTGTTCTTACCAAAATCAGTGATTTTAGACGTCAAAGATATTACGTCCTCTAGTTGAGCATGAAATTTAACTAGGCCTTCGTAATACGCTGTTTTTTTAGTTGAAGAAGCATCGATCATAGGACGTATCGTATAAATTTTTCTCTTGGGACTTTTGACAAACAGGTTGCGTGCACATCGCGAAAAGCACAACATAATATCAATACCAAATCTTTGTTCCATTGACAAAAGCTTGAGGATCGTTCCCACAGAATGAAATGCAAAACCAGCGGAATTCAGAGAGTGAGAAGAAGAGAGTTAACCTCGCATCGCATTCCAACCATTTCTGCAGCTTCTCGGAAAATTACAGCTCTGCTAATATATATATATATATATATTTTAAATTAATTTAAGATATTGATTTAAATCTTTATTTTTAATCCAAGTAAAATATTAATATAAAAAGCTTCCATTTATTTATTGTGATTAATATATATTTATTCTTTATTTAAATATAGAATTAAAATCTACGTTCAACTTTTATTTATTTAAATATTATTGAAAAAAAAGTTTCATAAAATAAATGTGTGTCTATAATTGGCACGTGCAGAGTATCATACCAACCATTTTTCACGCATGCCTAGATGGCACAACGTCCTTATAAGGTATGTTGTTTTGATTACTCCTCCATGCATTGTCTCGATTATTGGATCCCAATTAATGCACCGTTAACTTTTGACTTTCATCTAACACCTCTCCTTAATCAAGGCTCGACTCGTACCATGTTAGATGAACACAACTCTCCACAATGGTATGACATTGTTCACTTTGAGTATAAGTTCTCCAGGCTTTGTTTTGAGTTTCTCCGAAAGGCCTCACACTAAGATAGTATTTCTTGATTATAAATTTATGATCATTTCTTAAATTAGACGACTACACCAAAATTTCATTCAATAATTACATCAATTATGGTCAATTTAGGTTAGATTTAATTTTTTAAAATTAAAATTGGGTTGATTTCACCATTTAATTTAATCATCCAATAATTATTTATCAGTAATATTTTATAAAATTTTAATTATAAATATGATATATATGTGAATCCAAATATATATATTAAGTACTCATAACGTGTTTGATGAACTAGCCCGGAGGAATTCATAATTCCGTTGCTCATCTTCATCCAACAGTTATACTCCGAACTGATTCGTTTTCAGTTATCTACTACTGAACTAAGAGCCGATTCTGTTTCGAGCACCATGAACCTACAATCAGGTGCGCCAAACTGTAATCGGAATCAAGATTTTTCGTTCTTCTTTTTTTGTTTTCACTTCACTTTTGTTCCGTCGCGCGTAATTTCGATGTTCTTAATTTGATTTTGCAGTGATTGAGTTTCTTGGATGTGTTCCGCTGCTACAGAAGCTGCCTAGTTCGTCTCTAAGGGCAGTGGCTGAAGTGGTCGTCGTCAAGCACTACGGTAACTTTGATTTTCCACAATGCGTTTATAACTTGTGGTCTATCATAATATGTAATCAGCTGATGAAATCAATCAATATTTTTCTCTTCCACTCGATCCATTGAGTATGTAGTGACCGATGTGTGATTTATCTTTGAAGTCTTTGATTCTCTTTCCTGTCTGATGAAAATTGTTGGAAACAATCGAACTCACAGCAGTGTGATAGTATATTCAAAGTTTAAATGCTTCATTAACTGAAAACTTGAGGTTTTTTTGAGTTTTTGGCGATTACATTAGACAAGAAATTGGTGTGGAGGCTATTGTAACTTCAAATTTATTAGCTAGCGTAGCAGTTGTAATATGATAATTTTAATTTGACATTGTTTTTTCAGAGAGCGGAGATTACGTTCTTCGTGAGGGTGAAACAGGAGCTGGAATCTATTTCATATGGGAGGGAGAGGTAATCTTCTTCGGAATTTTGCAGTTGTTGAAAGTTTTAGTTGGTCTTGAAAAAGCTTCTCTTATGGTTTACAGGCCGAAGTACATGGTTGCGGTGATGCAGATGGAGAAAATCGTCCAGAATTTCAGTTAAAGCGTTATGACTATTTTGATAATGGTAAATATATTTTCAGTATTTTATCATTATCTATGCACTATTGTGTTCAAATTTATTAAACAGGAAGTTTCCTTAAAACTTCTGCGTTGTTATTCAACTCATCGTATTCTCCACACTTTTCCGAATAGCAATCGTTTGTAGAAAGTCTTTATAACCTAGTATTGGATTATACCAGATTACGAGTGAGATCTCATAACCGTTGGAGAGAGAAACGAAGAATTCCTTATAAAGGTGTGGAAACCTCTCCCTAACAGAGCATTTTAAAATCTTAAGGAAATATCTGTTAGCGGTGAGTTTGGTCTATTACAAATGGTATCGAGCTAGACACCGAGAGGTGTGCCAACAAGGACGTTGGGGTGGATTGTGAGATCCCACACTGGTTGGAGAAATGAATGGAACATTTCTTATAAGAGTGGAAATCTTTGCCTAATAGATGCATTTTAAAATCGTGAGGCTGATGCGATAAGAAACAGGCCAAAGTGGACAATTTCTGTTAGCGGTGGAATTGGGCGGTTTTCCTAATCTTCTCCTTTTGGTGCTCCCATTAGATTGTTCTCATGTGTCCATTCTTTGCCGTACAGTCTTTCTTCTTTGAGATGATAACAAGTGAGTGATGGATTTCATTAATGTACCCATCTGTATATGCTATGTTATGTGTTTAATTTGATGTACACTTACAACTATATTCTCACCTCGGGCTGAGAAAACAACCTGTGGATTTTTCCTGCTATATGCATTTCTGGTGATGAGCCTGGAAACTAGAAATGAAATCAACTGCTTTTGCAGGAATCTCAAGATCTGTACAGGAAGCTGATATAGTTGCTTTGTCTAAGGTAGGTCGTCTAGGCCTTCCATTTTTTTCTTTTACAAGCAAAATGCATTGTTCTTGATGTTATGCTATCTACATAGTTTTCCTACCTATGTGCTTCTGTTTGTGGCAGCTAACATGTTTGGTCCTACCTCGGGAACATTATTCATTGTTAAATCCAATGTCCATCTGGAATGCTGACAGAACTCGTGATACATTTGCAGTTGTTGAGAAAATACTGCAGTTAGAGCCTCTGGAAGTATGTTTTTCTTGAATACGATTTTACTTTTCGCAAGTAGTGCCCACATTCCCAACTGCCATGAATCTAATTATTTAATTAAACTAAAGATTATTTTTAATTCATTAGTTAGAAACATTTTGAATGTTATTGAAATATCAAAGGTCGTTTTATTTTTATATATCACCCATTTCCTTTGGAATATTACTGCATAAAAAGAAGATCAATAAATTTCGTTCTACTTAAACTGAGAATGAGAGTGTTTCCATTTCCTTGTTCCTGTTGAATCATAGATTTACACTTACTGAAAGGAAAATTATGAGAAAAATTGTGGTTGACTTGTTCCCGTTGAATCATAGAACTACAATAAAGTTGATTCTATTGTTTTCTTTGCCTATAAGCTTCCTAAAATTGTTGCTTCTATTTCTTCCTTATTTTTGGATTCTCTGGAGGCGAATACATTCCAGGGGATTACTTTACCCGAGGCTCCAAAATTTGGAAAGGTTTTTGGTGGGCAGCTAGTTGGTCAGGTATACATATATATATTCCCTGATTTTTCACCATCATTTTTATTTCTTCTTTCGTCATAAAGCACTATCGATAGCTTTTAGAGGGATTGTTTTATAGAATTCAAAGTATAGGGTCCTGGATAGGTTGGGATTTTGCATTGTCAAATGTTCAATGTAGTTGACTGGTGAATCAATTAATTTTAAGTGCAGTTCAAAATTTTTCTTTCTGATGTCAATCTGGTGCTTTATCGCATACCCTTGATATTGTACTTGTTTTTATGTTTGCCAATCATAACAGCATATTTTTTAAGTATAAAAGGTTTGAGGGAAATATCCATTTTTTTTACGTCTCTACTGATTTAGCAGCCTATGCATGTCTCAAGATCTGTTGCTTGTTTAATGTGTTTTTTTTTTCTTGAGTACCACGGATTTGGGATACGGGGCTTTGAACATCCAACCTCAAGGAAAGGAATATAGGTTAATTATAGTTGAGCTATGCTCATTTTTGGCTACTTGTATTCACATTAATTAAACTACTTGATAAATGTTGGCTTAAAAACTATAGGAATATTGTTAATGCTTCTTGATACACAGAAATTTACTTCTAATTCATACATATTACAGGCACTGGCAGCAGCGTCAAAAACTGTTGATTCTCTCAAGTTTGTTCATAGTTTGCATGCATATTTTCTTCTGGTTGGGGATTTTGATAGTAAGTATGATTATTTATGCTGGATCTGAATGCTTTTATTTCTCAGATAACAGACACCCAGTTGTAATATCTAAGCCCATGGTAATATCTTTGCGTGCTTACACACATTTGTTTCCTATCTTCATCATTTTCGTTTGATGATAATTCACTTTCAATTAGGTTAATTTGCACGGTGGTGGCAATTTGCTAGAGAATACCTTACCCTCTCATAAAATTGTAGTATGGGGAGATTTCAGGATAAAGTGTTTTTTCATCCAAGGATAAATTTCTCTGTCACATTTAGTGATTTGTCCAAAGCTGTGCAAGCTGGTTTCCTCTTACCTTTTGGATTTTTCAACACTGACTTGAACCCATGGTTTTATATGCTTCTATGATTATTGCCTTTCTGATTATAGATTGAAGTGTGCGTGAAGTATATACCGATAGTTTAGTACCTTCCGCAGTTTAGAACCCAACTGCATAACTGTGTGTCACCATAAGAAATCGCACCAATACATCTTCTACATGGAGAGCAGGACTTTTCATGAATAAATTAACTATGGGACACTTTCCGTATCTATTTGACATACTTCAGATAGTGTGAGAAAAATAGAGCACTCTCAAATTAGACTGTAAATATAACTTTGAAGTTGAAAAAGGACGATAACCATTCATTCTTTGCTTTTGTAGTGCCGATTATATATCAAGTTCACCGTATGCGTGATGGAAACAGCTTTTCTACCCGGAAAGTGGATGCAATACAGAAAGGAAATATCATTTTTACATTGCTATCTTCATTTCAAGTAATTTGCAATCTGTGCACTTTTGGGTGGTAATTTTTTTTTTTTTAAAAAAAATAACCATTATGACATAGGCTTGCAGGATGAAGATATGTATGGTAGAATTATTGGAACGATCTTCCAAGCTAGGAATTTTTCCAAACACCTTTGAAATTCGCTATCACAACTTTGAATGAACACGAAGGACTTCCTAGATAATAAATCGTTTATGCAAATAACAAAAGTCATAGAATAACTGGAAGAGCTTTTGTAGAAGTCAATATGGCCAATTTTGAGCAACAGTCTTAGTTATCTGTGGGGAACTCCAAATGAATTCCAACATAGCATGAAAACTATCCCAGAATAATTCCATCCAAATTCTGAATTTGATGGATCTTAGGAAATTAAGTAATGAGAGAAAAATTCTACATCGTTTGACATTTCTTTAGTTTTCACTACAATACTTTGATTGCCAAGACTGCAACGGTTTATTTGCAGAAAGAAGAAGAAGGCTTCGACCACCAGATACCAAAAATGCCACCTGTGCCATCTCCAGATAAGGTGACTAAAATTTTGCTAACTATGTGTAAGATAATTTCCACCAGAGAATTTCTATTTGGATATTAATATTGATTATATTACAGCTTGTATCAATGGAAGACTTGCGTAAGAGACGCCTTACAAATCCATCTCTTCCTAGGTAAGATTTTTCTGTAGTCATTTTAGATTTTCTTTGTATGAGCTTTCTGATCATGCAACTTAGTTGATGAATTCTTGCTTGTTCTTCCTACAAAGAAGTAGCTCTTCCATTGGTTCTGTTCATTTTTATGGTAGCTTTATGTGCTCCAATAACAGAAACCTTTATTCCGATATTTGATATAGATTAGGTCATGCCGTGCACTGGATGTATTAAGTCATTTAAATTTTGGTGAAATTAGGTCTAGTTGGTTTACTAATAGAATCAGCTACGGTATTCCTCTGGAATTTCCATTTTATATAAAGTTTGTAATTGAAAAGCATCAATTGCAGAAGTTTTGAATTTCTTCTGGTAGGGTGATTACAATGTGGATATGGAGACTTACTCGGTGATAGACTTATATTAAATGTTTGTTTTGCAAAAAATAATAACAAAGATGCGTTTACATGGTGGATATGGAGGCGTACTTGGTCCATTGACTCATATTAAGTGTGTAACTGCTGATAATGTCATTTTGGATAAGAACTAGTCTATCGTAGAATGGCTTGCAAACAGTTCACAAGAACTATTGGTTATATCAGGACTTACCGTAACAAGGTAGCTTCCAAGACGTTTATTCCTTGGCCAATTGATCTACGATTTTGTGAGCCTAACAATGCAACGGACCAGACCAAATCTCCCCCCAGGTGACCTGGTTACACTTCTCATCTCAGTTAATAATAGTATATTTCTCATATGCCGTTGGTACATTGGATTTATAGAACCGTCTTGAACTATGTTGCAGTTTGAAGTATTGGTTTAGAGCAAAAGGAACACTATCAGATGATCAAGCCTTGCACAGGTAAGCAGCTTAATGGCTTTTAGTTTTGAAAACCTTTTTGATGTGAAGATTAAGTGAGAACTTTCGACATAGTTCTTCTCTCTTATTGCCATTATCTGAGTGCACATTTCTTACCTCTATAAATGAGAGATTTGAAAGGAGACTAAAAAAATTTGTAGTCTAGGAAATCCTCGCATGAAATACGCAGAAAATGATGTTTTGTTCATATTGCTCTGTGCAGGTGTGTAGTAGCATACACTTCTGATCTGATGTTTCTTTCAACAGGCTTGAATCCCCATCGTAGGAAGGGTTTGAAGGCAACTTGCGTGAGCTTGGATCACTCGTAAGTACTTCAACGATATTATTTTCAATTCTTTTACTTTCAGTTGCTGACAGTCAATTTACAAGAAAATAAAAAACCAAACTTTCATTGAAGAAAAATGAAACAATACAAGGGGGATCCAAGGAAAAACAAGTACAATTATTTTTTGTATAGTCAATAATGTGAAGTTCTTATGGGCTTTTAGAGCTAGTTCTTGGGATGTAAGGTTGATGATTATTAGGAGAGAGTCCCACATTGACTAATTTAGAGAATGATCATGAGTTTATAAGTAAGTAAGGAATACATCTCTATTAGTATGAGGCATTTTGGGGAAACCCGAAGCAAAGTCATGAGAGCTTATGCTCAAAGTAGACAATACCACCATTGTAGAGGGTCGTGATTCCTAACATGATATTAGAATCATGCCCTTAACTTAGGTCAATAGAATCTTCAAATATCGAACAAAGAAGTTGTGAGCCTTGAAGGTGTAGTCAGAAGTGACTCACATATCGAATAAAGGGTGTACTTTGTTCGAGGACTCCAAAGAAGGAGTTGAGTCTCGATTAAGGGGAGGTTGTTCGAGGGCTCCATAGACCTCGGAGGAGGCTCTATAGTGTACTTTGTTTGAGGGAATGATTGTTGAGGATTGTTGGGAGGGAGTCCTATAATGATTATGGATTTATAAGTAAATAATACATCTCTATTGGTATGAGGCCTTTTGGAGAAGTCCAAAGAAAAGCCATGAGAGCTTATGCTCAAAGTGGACAATATTATACCATTGTGGAGGATCGTGATTCCTAACATGTAATGCCTCTTCGGTCGTGGGAGCTGGGTCTGAGTGTAAGAAATATATACGCATGGTTTTATCATTGCGACAAATGTAGAACAAAACTTATGCCTCCATTGCATTCATTTCTGTTCAGGGTGTGGTTCCACCGACCTTTAAGAGCTGACGACTGGCTGCTATTTGTGGTAAGTAGAATGAATGAAGTATTTATTTCATGAAGTTTTGTTTGTTCTCTAAATATACTAACAGAAGCAAGAACAGATGCACGCGCCTACTTCCTACAACACGCGCTGTTTCGTTACAGGCGAGATGTTCAACCAAAAGGGCGAGGTAACGAAGCTAACTACCATATGTTCCTTTCTCCATCTGTTATGACAGGAACTGAATTGTGCAAATAATGAGCAGCTCGTCGTCTCGTTGACTCAAGAAGGCGTTATTCGGAAGGTGAAAGCGCCTGAGTCCTCTCTAGCCTCAAAGCTATGAAGTGTGTCATCTAATGTGGTAGCTTTCAACCTATCCTATACTATACTATACTATTTGTCCATATCAATGTTGAAGTCCCAACATGGCGGTTTAACCATGGATGGCTGCAGAAAAAACACAGACTACATTCCTTTTCCCTTCTCCAAATTAGCAGAATATTATGGTGAGCTTTCAAAGGTTCAATATCTAAAACAATAACTATAATAGCATACAACTATGTTTATGGTATTTCGTGTTTATATGTGTGGTGATTGCTTTCCTCTCTCGAAACTCTTTTAGTTTATTCATATATTTTTTTGTTTATAAATTTTTGGATTCGTGTTATGGATTCTTTAATATAATGAATGTAGTTCTTTTTTTACCAAAAAAAAAATTAGAGTAACTCTATAAATGGTAAAAACAAATTATATATTTGATTTATTTATAGTTGACTTTTGAGAAGGGTTCTTTTTTCCTCTTTTGATTTAGAGTGCCTCTAAACGATGTCAAATTATACTGACGGCCAAACTAGACTAAACGCTAAATGTAAACGATGTAGAAAAAATACGTTTAATAGCATGCTATTTTGCGGTAACTTAGCTTATAAAACTTTGCTTTACATTAGTATCCAATGATTTCACAAAAATATATAACATAAACCCATATATTGAAACAAACTAGTTAATTATCAAACCAACACAGCAACAATGTTGCCTCTTAATTTAACCAAAAAATAATAATAATAATAATAATAATAATAAAATCGTTATTATTATTATTCTCCGTATGACTTAACTTAGATGAAGTTATTGAGTTAAAATTTAAATTTAATTCATAACTATTTAGTGTTTGAGCTTTTAAAATGTAGAATTTTTAAATTTTTTAAAAAATTTATGAATTATTAAATATAGAATTTTGATTTTTTTTTATAATTTATGACACAAATTTTATTTTAGAAGCCTAAGACTCTTTCTAAAGTTTTCGACATCCGTATTTAACCTTACTTTACCAAAAAAAAAAAAAAAAAAAAAAAAAAAAAAACTCAGCAGGTCTAATGACAAATCTACCCCCACACGCAGCTTTGCCTTTGCGTGCTTCCGTCTGATTTCCTTTCACGAGCACCTTCCGTTACCATCAGATCTATCCCATGAATTTTCGAATCAATTTCTCCGGTGAGTTCGACATTTTCATCTTCTTTTAAGATTTAAGGTTTTGATTCGAACTATTTTCTTGGCTTGTTATCTTTTGATGCCTTCAGTGTTTGATTTGTTTGTTAACCTCGGTGAACTAGATAATTCTCGTTCTGTATGTGCAATGCAGGCTGTGTTTGAGATCAGATTATGGTTTCAATCGGTCCTGCTTGATCCATTTAGGATGTGAGGATTTGTTGGAATTAAAGATCAAATAGTTTTCGGTACTAATTTCTAGATAGATATACGACAGCTTCAGGGAACTAGAAATTGAAAGTGAAACTGTAATGGCTTGTTTCTGGAAGACTTTTGAAAACAATGGTTTGATTTTTGCTGCTGAAATTGTTTTCACGAACTACTTTTCAATTTGCTTGTGAGTTGATATTTCAAAGTTATTCTCACTGAACTTCTGTCCTTAAAAAACAAGTTTTCTCAAGCAATTCCTTAATATCTTGATGACTTCCTTAATATCTTGATGACTTTCTTAATATCAGGATGGGTTTCAAGGTAGGTGAACAAGGTTAGATGTAGTTTCTGAAGTAATTGGGAAGGGAAGTTCCTATAAAATTGAGAAATTTCCTACCTTTGAGTGCAGTTTGAACTATTGATTTACGAGATTGGAAGTAACCAATTTAGTTTACTACAAACCCTAAAATCGCTCACTGATCCAATTTAAATATCTCAACGGAAAACTGAAGAATAACGACAAATAGTGATTGAATTCAATAGTTCCTTTAAAGTTATTGACTCTAGAGATATAGTAATATAGAGAATACTTAATTGTTTTAAGCACCAATAGAATCAGAAGGCTCTCTTGTTTCTCCTATGTTACTTGCTATGTTGAAGTAATGATGTAATTTCATAGTCATTTGGTTTGAATGCTACATGAAGAACGTAAGCCAGACGAGAGAATAGGAAAACGTAGGTTGTAGAAGCTTTTGATAAAATTACAGGGATACTCGAAGATGCTTTACTATGTTTAGAACGATAACATGACTTCAGTTTATAATATTATTAACTGAATGATTGTTGTTTCTTCAATGATCTGGTTGAAAGTGCATGTTGTATACCTTATTTTGAACATGCTGCTGCTTCAAACAGTGTGGCTGAGACGTTCTGCTTGACGCATTTTTGTTAAATGGATAAAACAATTACATAAGCTAAGCCCAATTGGTAACAATGATCAGAAAATGGGTCGTAAAAGATGATTAGATTACAAATTTAGAATGGTGAAATTGTTTCTGGAATGTTTTGAACTGTGTCAAAAGGGTAATGATTTGGGATTATTTTTGACAGATTCATGGACTTCCTAATTTTGTGGCTTGAAATAGCTTGTGGTGGTTATCATGCTTTGTTAAGCTCAAGGAATATAAATTGTACTCTTCTGAGTTCTTTGATGCAGGATTTCTGAGCAATACACATTCTTTTTTTGACTTTTCAGGAGTCGTTTAATGGCTTAAACTTCTCGATCGGACTTATGGACAGTGTTTTAGGTCCAAGTGGTCTTGAAGAATTGATCCCACCGACAGGGCGATCGCTGATACCTGGGCTGCCAGATGACATTGTTCTTTCCATCCTCTCAAGGGTTCCTCGAAAATACCATCATAATCTGAAATCTGTCTCAAAGAGATGGAAGGATCTTGTGAACAGCGAAGAGTGGTATTCATGCCGTGAAAAGAATGATCTTGCTGAGACTTGGATCTATGCTTTGTGTAGAGACAAGTCTGAACAAGTTTCGTGTTATGTGTTGGATCTTAACTCATCAAAAAGGCGTTGGAAACAGATGAAAAGTTTACCATCTTGCAGCTTTAAGAGGAAGGGTATGGGGTTTGAAGCAATGGGAAGGAAGCTCTACTTATTAGGTGGTTGCAGTTGGTCTGAAGATGCTACTGATGAAGTTTACTGCTATGATACTTCCACAAATAGCTGGAGTTCAGTTGCGCCATTGTCATCTGCTAGGTAATGATTATACACACATACCCTTCGACAATAATAATGATTTATATTAAAAAAAAAAAGGTACAAAGTGAATATGTTTCTAAATTTCTAGAGGGAAGACTTGATAGAGACAGTTTTTTTTGGTAAAATTTAAAGCATAAACTCATAGTATTGTGATATCCCACCTTGGTTGGGGAGGAGAACGAAACACTTTTTATAAGGGTGTGAAAACATTTTCCTATCAGACGCATTTTAAAGCCTCGAGGGAAAGCTCGAATGGGAAAGCCCAAAGAGGACAATATCTGCTAGCGACCGGGTGATGTGCCAACGAGGAAGCTGTTTCCCAAAGGGGGGTAGACACGAGGCAGTGTGCCAGTAAGGAGGTTGGGCTCTGAAGGGGAGTGGATTTAGTGGAGGTCCCACACCGATTGGAGAAAGGAACCAGTGCTAGCGAGGACGCTGGGCTCCGAAGGGGGATGGATTGTGATATCCCACATTGGTTGGAGAGGAGAACGAAACACCCTTTATAAGAGTGTGGAAACCTTTCCCTAACAAACGCGTTTTAAAGCCTTGAAAGGAACCCCGAAAGTAAAAAGCCCAAAGAGGATAATATCTGCTAGCGGTGGACCTGGGCCGTTACAAGTTTAGACGAATCTTATAGTTTTGTTGTGAATGTAAAGACTAAATTTGGACATTTGAAAGCATAGAGATTGCAATAAAACAAGTCTGGAAGTATATAGATTGAAAATATTATATTAACCTTCGGTTTCTTGTAGCATCTCACAAAGTTGCAACATATTTTCCTATGCACAACTTTTTGAAATTTACCCTAATGCTTGTATCATCATCATGTACAGGTGCTACTTTGCTTGTGAAGTCTTAAATGAAAAGCTTTATGCCATTGGGGGCTTATGTTCCAATTCAGGTGATCGACATTCTTGGGACATATATGACCCATGCACCAACAAATGGGAACCTTGCTTGGACATTACAAATATTCAGAACGAAATTGAAGGTTCGATTGTGATGGATGGAAAGATTTATATCCGTCAACGTTCTGTGGACTCTCAAGCTTATGCTCTGGTTTACGACCCATCGAGTGGAACGTGGGAGCACAGTGACTCAGAAATGGTTTCGGGATGGCGAGGTCCAGCGGTTATTGTAGACAAAACTCTTTATGTTTTGGATCAAAGTTCTGGAACCAGATTGATGATGTGGAACAATGAAGTCAAGGAGTGGATTCCAGTGGGGAGATTTTCTGCCCTTCTAACGAGACCACCATGTCAACTCGTTGCTGTCGGGAAAAGAATCGTCGTCGTGGGGAAGGGACTCAGCAGTGTCATCTTTAATGTTGACAACGCAAGGACTATGGAAGGGTTGATGGTGAGTTCCTCTATACCAAGATTAGATTCTGATGTTGATGTACTTTCCTGTAAATGTGTAACACTTTAAGCTGCCACCACCTGATAGACAAACTTGCCCTCATGCAATACCATAATGTATATACTCTTTCAATTGATACTTTGTTAATGTTCTCTTTCAATATATATACAAGTTCTTGTTCCTATCACTATAATCGCAGGAAAGTTATATATTTTAGGGTCATAAATGATATCGATAATTGCAAGCTGCATCGTGCGAAACAAATAGGAGTAGAACTTTAGAGTAGAACTTCCTATTTCAATATTTCAAGAACTTTATACAGCAACAGAGGGAAAACTAGCCTTCAATAACGTTATAGACAGGAGGTTATGTTACATACCAGGAAGCAAATGGTTGAGAAATCAGCCCTTTCGACAACAGAATGTAAAGATCAATACACTACACATCCAACTCGATAACCGTACGACACTCGGGACTCGCTTGTAAAGTAACAGCCAGGTACGATTTAAATTCAGCTAGTTTTTTTCCTTTTGAATGCAGGATGAATGACCCCATTATAAGAAGCCAAATTGTCAATAGTTGAAATACAGTCTTTCATTCTCTTAAGAACTGTAGGGATCAGGATGATATTACTTGATATTTTATCTTCAAGCAACTGTATCTTCTTCGCAGTTTCTAATCCCTCTTCATGAACTGTGCCTTCGCCTCTTGTAGTGGTTTGTTCATCATCTGCATAAAAAGACAGTGATTTCTCAATCAGAATAAAAGTTCGTAGGAAATAATGCTTCATTACCATAGAATAAGCTCACTGAGTCCAAAAGGTTAATACTTGCTCGAATAATAGGTTGCCATAATCGATCGAAATATGCATCAAAAAATGACCCGAATCAACAAAAATACAACAAAGGGTACACCAAAAAGATCATCTAGTAAAGTCCTAGAATTTCTTTCAACTCAGAGCTCCCATGGGACTGCCTAAGATCTAATTGGCTTTAAGCAAGAATTATGTCTTTCTTGTTTAACTTGTGATGCAACAGCTGCATTAGAATGATTGTTACTGAAAGAATTACCCCCTGAGGTTGATAGACTCACCCCCAAACAGCAAGAACAGCCTACATAGTGAAAAACTAGCTCGATTTAATGGTGTGCTTTCCCAAATGGCCTAAAAGCTTCAAAAGTAGTGAGGAGTTACCGTCTAACTAAACTCACTCACTTTTTTAGTATAATAAGTGGGGAATGAGAATTTGATTCTAAAACTTTGAGAAGAAATGCATGTCGAGAACTGTTGAGCTATGCTCACTTTTGAGAACTAAACTCACTTGAACATAGATCATAAATTAAACATATAAAAATATCATCAAATATTTCTTAAGAACTTAAACGAACAATCAACAAATATCATACTTTATAAACTACAACCAACAGAAGAACAGAAGCCTTCACCCAATGTAATTTACAGGAAGGACAGAGAAGGGAATGAAACAGAAAGACAGTTTGGTTAGGCAGAAGCCTTCGCTGGTTACATAATGTTGCCTTGTTCAATAGCCAAAAGAAAGCTTCTATCTACCTGAATTGGCAGTAGAACATGTAGAACTTGCAGATCAAATAATTCAGAACAACATGCATTCCACTCGCCCCAATTTAACACTTCTAAATGTGTATTCAAAACAAAGAAACTTTCACTTCATTTTCTCAGTCAGCAAATCTACCAGTTCCAAGCAAGAAAGAAAGAAAAACGTGAAGCAACTAAATAAAATTAGAGGCACAGAATCCGACCTTCATGATCCGGAGGAGCAGCAGATGTTCCCAGCTCCGAGGCTCCAACGGGGAGAGGCCTCGAGGACTCGAGTAATGAAAAGAAGGAGGACTTTAGCTGAGCCGACAGAGTGGATCTGTAGTGATGAATCCTCTGAGCTATTTGATTCACTTCAAGTTCCAGCTCTTCAACCTCATAGTGGGGCTCCGTGTCTTGGGATTCAAATCCAGAAACACCGGCGTCTTCACCGGGATTGTCTGGGGACATGTTCAGTTTTGAAACCACGTCCAGTTTCTAGAGAAGTAGGAGTGGAAGATCAGAGGGAGAAACGAAATTCAGTTGTGTGTTGGAATCGAATGGAATGCAAATTTTGGGGTTTTGGAGCGCAATGGATTTTGAAATTTGAGAGTTGGACGTGGAAATGGAATGGGATTGTGAAATAGATTAGAAGAGAAGTGCACAGCCCGCGCTTCAACCAGTCGGGTCTCGAAGCCCGATTGATGAAACTTGAATGTAAACCAATAGGCCCATCGGCCCAATCATAGGCCCAGCTAACATTATTTATTAACTAATTTTGAATTGAATTTTATATGTAATGAAACAATATTATATAAAATTTTATATAAAAGTTGGAAGGACGAAGTTTGTAATTCCAAAAGTTACAATATATATATATATATATATATATATATATATATATATATATATATTGTAACTTTTGGAATTACAAACTTCGTCCTTCCAACTTTTATATAAAATTTTATATAATATTGTTTCATTACATATAAAATTCAATTCAAAATTAGTTAATAAATAATGTTAGCTGGGCCTATGATTGGGCCGATGGGCCTATTGGTTTACATTCAAGTTTCATCAATCGGGCTTCGAGACCCGACTGGTTGAAGCGCGGGCTGTGCACTTCTCTTCTAATCTATTTCACAATCCCATTCCATTTCCACGTCCAACTCTCAAATTTCAAAATCCATTGCGCTCCAAAACCCCAAAATTTGCATTCCATTCGATTCCAACACACAACTGAATTTCGTTTCTCCCTCTGATCTTCCACTCCTACTTCTCTAGAAACTGGACGTGGTTTCAAAACTGAACATGTCCCCAGACAATCCCGGTGAAGACGCCGGTGTTTCTGGATTTGAATCCCAAGACACGGAGCCCCACTATGAGGTTGAAGAGCTGGAACTTGAAGTGAATCAAATAGCTCAGAGGATTCATCACTACAGATCCACTCTGTCGGCTCAGCTAAAGTNTTTTTTTTTTTTTTTTTTTTCCACACCCGCTGTAGAGATCAAAGGTATTTGGCCCTCAAAAGGGATTAAAGTTTTAGATTATCGAAAAATACCTTTTTTTTAATACCTCTGTTCTCCTCAGCAAAAATAGTAACTTCATTGTTCTTGGGAAAGCATCGGATTCCTTTCAAATATGTATAGGATACAATTTATATAGAAATTGTAACAAATATTGTCTACTTTGACCCGTTACATATTGCTGTCAACCTCACGGTTTTAAAAACACGTCTCCTTGGGAATCACATTTCACTTCTAAAGTTCCTGAATCAAAACTATGTTGATTTTTTACAGGAGTTTAGAACCACTTGATATGATATCAGATGCCCTGTCAGATAATAGAACAAAGAAATTGAACCTACACCAATCCAGAAATATGCTAAGTAATTTGAATCTCTTGAGGTTAATATGCTAAATGAAGTTGGTAATAACAAATTCATTCAACACCTTAGAATCTAACAAACTGCATTATTCGTCTCCTCCAAGAGGTCTACTCATGCTTGATCTCGACCTACGCTTCACGAAATGTATAAACAAAAACTGCAGATTCAAGATATATATGCATAAAACCGTAACCAAACCCTCGAGTCTACACATCATGGATTGTCCTTGACACCATTGGAGCCAAGCTTCTCACTTTGACTTCCTTGAGATTGATTATTTGATCCAAAGATGAAACCCTTAATAGAACTTTCTGTTGACAGTATAAACTTTTTGATCTGCCATTCCAAATTAGGCCATTAGAACTCAGAACAATATGAACAATTTTCTAGACATCTGAAAATTCGATCAAACACCAATCAATAAGTTATGATTATGGCAAATAACTGAAATGTCTAATGCCTTCCAGTTGTTAACTATATGTAGAAGTAAAACCATGTTAATTGTCACCTAAACTTAATTTGCTAAATGCCCAGTCTTCTTGCTTCTAATTGAATAGAAAGGGACACTTCACTCTTAGTTTTCATATCTCACTTCAATATCAAGAAATTATGAGCGACAGACAAATCTAGCAAGGTATAAATTTCATTGAAAGTGATGACTCAAAAACAAGAATAAATGCTAATTAGCAACTCATAAACCTACAAACTTCAGATTGTTGTAAGAGATCAGATGAACGTATATGTTCTCTCTCAGCAATTTGACAACGTAATGGAAGGAAAATTTTCCATCTAATTTAAACTCAGTGTAGTGAAGTGTTAAAAGCCTCAACAAATTTACAACACAATGGATGAAAATTTCATAAACTAAACATAAATCGTGTTAAACAATGGTAAATTTAGCAAGGAAAACAAGACCGACGAAGAATGTAGAAACCCTAGGTTCTACACGTTAAATCAAGTACAAGGCGAAATATACGACAACTAATACACTGGCAACAAAAATTAAGAACAATAAGCGAGTAAAATATGATCGGAAATCCAAGAGCTTGAACTACACTACACGAGTTGCATAAAAAGCAAAATTGATTAAGAAACGAAATCACTGCAAACGCAATTCATTTTTCGCTTGAAAAGAATACAGATAAGAGGAAGTTCATCAATGTCTAAATAACGGAATCCATAATAGACAAACAGATATCACATCAGAAAAAGACAGTCAAAAGAGCACCAACAAATCCGCGTCCTTGGGTTGCTGAATAGTAAAAAGAAACTAACCTACATAAGATCCAAGATCCTACTGCTTCGAACCAGACAGATAATAAAAATTTTGAGGGAGAGATGCTTAGAGAACTCACAGGATCGAGAAAATTGGGTTGAGGGCCATAATCGGCAGTTAAGAGAAAGTATGAAGCAGTGACAGTGGCCACCATAGTTGTTCTTCTCAGCAACTTGTCTGTTCGCGGATTCACCATTTGGACGGAGAAGAAATCGCGTTTCCTCTTGTTTGCTATAAACCGCTTCCGGTTTATATATGGATATTTGGGATCGTTCGGTGGTCTAATCTCAAATTTAATGTGGAATAATAATACAATTAAATTATTTTTTTATTATAAATATGAATCTGATTGTAGTTTAAATAAATAATTAAATATATATATATATCCTCTATTGTTAATTCGATTACAAATTGTGAAAAGCTATATACATATCATATTTTATTGCAGGAAAATTATTAGTACTACGTAACTAATTTTTATAAAATAAATTGATTTAGAAAAACTTAATTTAAAATTTATTAAGACTAAATTGACTAAATTTAGACAATTGAAATACAGTTAATATTTAATTTATTAACACAAAGTTATTTTATTTTTATTTTTCTACTGAAATAAAATATTTAATATTTGTGACATATCGTTACAACAAAGGGTCCTTAGCTCAGTGGTAGAGCATTTGACTGCAGATCAAGAGGTCACCGGTTCGAACCCGGTAGGGCCCTAATTGTTACTTTTCTTTTTTTTTTGCAAAGAGGTCGTCGGGTTAACTTATGATCAAATTAATTGACCCGGTTTGATTGTCATAAGGGGGTCCTTAGCTCAGTGGTAGAGCATTTGACTGCAGATCAAGAGGTCACCGGTTCGAACCCGGTAGGGCCCTAATTGTTTCGTTTCTTTTTTTTTTTGCAAAGAGGTCGTCGGGTTAACTTATGATCAAATTAATTTACCCGGTTTGATCGTCATAAGAGGGTCCTTAGCTCAGTGGTAGAGCATTTGACTGCAGATCAAGAGGTCACCGGTTCGAACCCGGTAGGGCCCTTATTATCGTTTCTTCTTTTTTCAAGAGGTCGTCGGGTTTGAGTCGGGTTAATGAGCAGACCCGGTTTATAAACAAATTCGGGCAAGGATTTAAGAAGACGGAGACCCGCGGCAAATCAGTTTGGAAATTCCTGGCGGCAGGGACCAACGATATACCGAAGAAGAATAATCTTTCGTGAGCAGGAAGAAGCGACATGTATTCTACCTTCAAAGTGACTCATAATCTTGGATTAATCTGTAGAATCATTTGTTTATTCCAGTTCATTCATTTTTTTGTGGTTCTTATGCCAATGTTTCTACGAATTGATTGGGGGAGAAAGAAGAAAAGGAAAATGCCGCAGAAGCTCCAAGCAAAGAAGAATAAGATGAAAGTAACTCTCTCTCTCTCTCTCTCTCTCTCTATTGAATCAAGAAAAGTAGAATTTTCTGCTTCGTTGAGTTAGAAAGATGGAGAGATTGGTTATTGTTTCCTTTTTGGTTTTCACGTAGTAATTTAGAAATTTTCTCATACGAGTAATGTTCTTGTTTTCACTTATTCCAAGAGCGAAATCCACCAGCGTTTTGTCCACTAGGATTGAGAAGCTCAATGACTTCCTACTGCATGATTATTTGGGCAATTAGGCAGTACTCGATCGATATGAAACCAAATCTGCTTGCCTTGGTTGAACATGTGAGTGTTCTATTAATTCCATTTGAATGTCTTATTATTTTCGCATAATTATGTTCTTAGGATCTCAAATGGAAAAAAGTGAAGACCAAGTTGATAGATGAGGTTTGATGTGTATATTTCTAGGACCTGCATTGGTGAGCTGATATATTTATTTAGTTTTGTGATTTATGATAGAAAGATAATCTTCCTTTTTTAGTGAACTTCGATCTTCCATTCACTCTTCAATCTCTTGAATCCCAGATTCCAATCTAATTTACAAGAGATTCTTATACATCAGTACTTTATGGAGTCATTTCGTTTTTCATTCCTGAACTCTGAATGGGTATAAATCCACCCCGTTGTTCTCTCAAGTTTGATGTTTCAATTCTTGAAAGACTCCCTTGAACGCCCATCTTTTTGTTACTTAAACGTTTCCTCTCAGGAGCGGCCAGTTTTTTTCTTGTTCTTTTGTGTAAGATCCATGTTTCTTGGAAGTGATTGTCGTTTCATCCTCCATTTAACTTGCAATCTTCCAATTGTAGGCAATAAGCTTAAAAAAAGTCTTCAATCATCTAGTAAGAGAAGCTAGAATGTATTAAAAAAAAAAAAAAATGTTCCATCAGTTGAACTCGAAATCTTGTTCCTCTGTCAAGAAACTCTCTTTCTTTCTTAGGTGTACAAACAAAAAGTAAACCAGTTCATTCTCAATCTTGAATCATATACCAGCTGTATCGAATCATTTCATTTCTTCATGAGTAGACTGTTCTAACGTGAATGCATTTTGACTTAACGTGTTGTGCTGTTTGATTGGATGGAATTATTTGTATTCTCATTCTCCACAGATTGGCAATGGTGGCAGTGTAGAATCTTCAAGGTTCCCATTAACTCCTCGATTAGCAGAAAATCTGGGTAACATTCCTTTGCATTATTTGCCTCATTATGGTGCATTGATTGAATGGTCCGAACAATTGAAGTTAGATCTCCAGAGAGTCCTAGGAAAGAAGCTCTATTACTTGTTCTTTTTGGTATGCCCTTGTGCTTTTCTTCAATGAAAACTCGGATTTTAAGTAAGAAACTATACGTCCATGGGTTATGTTGGGCTCGTGTTCATTGCCTCGTCTTTGACATGTTCATCACTTCACTTTGATACTCTTTAGATCTACGGCGCTCATCCTCTAGTCTCTAAACTTACAAGAGTTCATGCGCTATTGAGCCGCTTGCGCTTATTTATCTTTGCTTATTGTTAAGTCTCTTGAGCCTCCACTTTTTATTTTTCCCTTTTTAAGGCACCCTAAGTAGACCCACAAATTCTCTTTATGGAATATTTTAGATATATAGATTTAGGATGACCCATCTTCACATTCTCTATAGAAGAAATCCATATAAAATTTTTTCTTTCTTGAAAACTTCATTTCTGACTTATTTTACAAACAAGTAGAGTTCCAATTGGTTTTATTAGCACTTGTATATAAATAATGTTTCATCTCTTCAAGGGTTTGTAGAATATACAGACATATATACATACACACACATAGATACATATACATACATGTGTGTGTGTTTAGTTCTAAAGATCTAAACAAACAAATGAAATAAAGCCCCAAAATACAGATTGAAAAAGATTTTGCTCTCAACATTTAAAGGGCAAAATTTAGGCAGGTCTTTTCTCTCTCTCTCTAAGCTGCAGATTAGGTATTGTATGAATGGGTTATTTTGCAACAGAAACAGCGAGGTATGTGGCCAACCAAACAAGAGGAAGACATGGTCAAAATAACCTTAAATATAACAACGTTAAGAGCTTCAAAATCACAACCCTTTTACGTGAAGGACATGAACCTTACAAGGCTAGTCAGACCAGACAAAGGCTAAGGAGAGTTTGAGATATCCAAAATACATAAATAAATCACGAAATCTCTCTCTCTCTCTCTCTCTCTCTCTCTTCTCGCTCTCTGTTTCATTGAGGGACATCAGAAATCAGACATTATGGTATGTTTCTGTCTCTGTTCTTGATTGAGTTTCTCTTACATTTGTTCTAAAACTGAGAAGGATGTTTTGTTTTGTTGCAATCTTGACAGGCAAATTCATCATCAGGAATGGCAGTGCACGATGAGTGCAAGCTCAAGTTTTTGGATCTGAAGACCAAGAGAAAATACAGGTTCATAGTGTTCAAGATCGATGAGAAGATCCAGCAGGTCATGGTAGAGAAGGTCGGTGGTCACGACGAAACCTACGCCGATTTCACGGCTTCCATCCCTGCCAATGAGTGCCGTTATGCTGTCTTTGATTTCGATTTCACAACTGATGAGAATTGTCAGAAGAGCAAGATTTACTTCATTGCCTGGTATAATCTCATTTTTCATAACATCCTATCTCATTTGTTGGTTCTAGAATTAAATTTCTTATTTAAATTGATTTCTACTGTAATTTTTCGGTTTAAAATTTGTGATTTGTTTATGTAGGTCACCCGACACGTCGAAAATAAGAAGTAAGATGTTATATGCTAGCTCGAAGGATAGATTCAAGAGAGAGTTGGATGGAATTCAGGTCGAATTACAGGCAACCGATCCGAGTGAGATGAGCTTTGACATCATCAAAGCAAGAGCTCTCTAAATCCATCCAACAGAAATAAAAACTATTTTCATTCCAATAAAAAGTTATATATTATTTTTACCTTTTTTATTTTCAAATGTAGTTTTTTATGCTGTTTCTTTTTCCAAGCCTTTTCAATTCCCATCACTTACTTTAATGGAGAATTTGGAATGGTATATATGAAAATTAAATTTGTTTTTTTTTTTTTTTTTTTTATTTTTTAGAATCTTGTCTATTTTATTTTTCTGTTTAATTAGGTGTCTAACCCATTTTGAATTTATTTTTAAAATTTTATTAATCCATGAACTTTACTATGTAATTGTGTAATTTCAAATAAATTTCAACAAAATTAAGATTTAATTTTTATTATTATGGAATTTTTAGTCTTTAAACTTTATTAACATATTTAATTCCTTTTCAAATTTAAATAATCCTATTAAATCTTAACAATAAAAAACTAATTGTTATTAACTTTAAAGTACAATAATTAAATTGTTACTATAAAGAAGTAAATGATTTTCAGTCTATTTTATTTTACTCAAATAAATTAAAATTATTTTATTTTAGAGAAAAATATATATATTTTTTTTTAACTATTGTGGTTTTTTTTTTTTGAAAAATATATATTTTTTCTATTCAGAATAAAAAATAAGATTTAAATCCAGCAGTGCAGTTCTATTAATTCTCTGGACCATATGGTGGGGTGGTGGGGGCAAATGCGACAACATTTATTACAACAGACAAATCCCAAAATAATAGAATTTTATAATTATTTCTTTTTCTTTTGTACGAATGTGGGTTTAAAATTTTATTATATTTTTAGATAATCATATATTAAAATTTACAAAATAATAGAAACTTATTTTCTTTTATTTTTCCAATGAGGAAGTAGTGGGGAGTGGATGTTTGATCTTCATCATTTAACTAAATAATTAAAAAATAAAAAAATTAGTTAATTTTTTTATAAATAATGCACTTTTCTTTTTATATATTTCGGTCAAAAACAAAAAAAATAATTTATTAATGGGCCCAAGTAGTCGGGTCGACCACGATCATTTTAAATAAAAGCAATTATTCCTTCTAATGCAATCTTTTAAACGGCGACGTTTAACGTTGCCGACACCTATACATCGAATCTGACACGTGCCAAAATATCATTGATTTACATGTGTTAGCTGTCCGTAAGCTACGATTGAGACGCGGAGTTGATCGCAACGGATCTCCGAAATCACCCGCCAACACTAACCGTCGGATTAGGGTTTGACAACGGTAATCACTTAATCAAACAAATCAACGGCTGGTAGACAAGCGCTGCATCAAAAGTCATGGACCTCACCTGCAAAACCCACTGTCAGTTGTAAAGTTTCACCGCCACCGTTTTTTCTTCATGAGCTCTCTCAGCTCAGAGTCTATATATAAAGGCTCACCGCTGAGAGAGATAATCGCTGTTGAAAAATTTTGGAGAATTTTTCTGTTCGAACATTCTTGCCTTTGTGCGGTACGAATTTTGAGAACGATGTCTACGGCGCCGGAAAAATCTGATTCCACTTCTGCTCCTGCTCCTGCTCCTGCTCCAGTTCCCCCGCCTGTTGCGACTGGAGCTCCAACCGACGCTGTGGACGATAAGGAAAAAGCTGTGGTTCCAGTGCCTATCGTTAATAGTAACCTCTCTTTCTTTCTTTCTCTGGATGTTATCTGTTCGTTGTATGTGTTCTGATTGTTGTTTGGGATTGCGATGATATCGATTTGTTCCTTTCTATCTCATTTCTTTCCTTGATCGGAGATTTTGATGGTGAATGATTTATTACACTATAAAATGTTGAAGTGCTTGATTATACTCTTAGGTGAATTGTAAGTGCCTTTTGTCGCTCAGTTTGGTCGTCGAGAAATGGATATAGTCTAGTTGAGGAGTAAAATCTGTTCAAATTCCGTGTAGGAGAAAGCTTTGCTTACTAGAGTTGCCTTTCGCTCTGATTTTAATCAGAACGAGTAGGAGAAGAACAATTGGCGATCCAAGGTTTTCGATGTAATTGGCAGAATGTCAATCGAGCGCTATTTTTCGAAGTAAATCAATTATAGCAACAAGGAAACGGCAATGATTTTTTTTCTTCTTCTATAGTTGCAAGTTCTTCAAATTTTTATGTTCCAAGTTTTCGTCTACTAGTAGTTGAAGTGCTTGCTATCTTGGTTAGAGATTGGCAGTGATGTTGATGTCTACAAATTTATTGCAATTCAGATTGAAATGAGCTCCGTATTATGATGATATTCTATCTCGATTATGTTATCATCTTTCTGAAGATGGCGTTGCGTTGGAAAAAGTACCCTTCACATTTATGGAAGTTTTGGATGACTACCTGCAATCCTGTATGGGAGAAAATTATCCTCTTAATTCATATGCCGCACATATTATCAAAAAAAAATAGTACTGTTATTTGTTCATACTTTTGTCTTTTGTTCTTAGGTAGCACTTTTTTTGGTTTTTCTCTGTTAAGCATCTTTTTTTTACTTTTATTGCCAATTACAGCATAATCTTACTGAGGAAAGTCTCGTTTCACTTTTTTTTTTCTGGATTTCCATTGAGTAAGAGAAATAAGTTTTGGTGCCTCTTGAATAGTCTTCCTCTCACTTTGTTCTGTTAATAGTAAGATTTGCTGTACTGGGCCCATTGACGTTTTATTATTCTTTGATTTTAACGACCATTCCTTAATTTATGCTTCAATATGCTTAAAGTTGTAGATAAATTGAAGATCATGCTTTAGCTTTTGATTATTTGCTTCCTTTATCGGTGTAAAGGAAGATATTTTTCAAAAAGAAGCTATAAATATATACTATAGCTTTTTCTTTGAATGATTATGATTAATAATCAAATAGCTGTTCGGGTAAGGTGGAATCAAGATCTTTGTTCTTATGTATACTTTTAAAGATGCTAATGATGCATTACTGTGTCTGTCGTCCTCTTGAAGAAAGACATCTGGACGCTGTCCGTTATGTCATTTGATTCTTTTTTTCATTAAAACTGGTCAAGAGTTTTATTAAATTTATTTAAGTTGCAACTTACTGACATTCTACTTTATGGGTTTCATTTGCCATCAGTCATCTATGTACGTTAACTTCTCATCCATTTAATTTCCTTGGTGAATAATGAATATTGATAAGGTGATAGGATTCAGGTGGGTCATATTGATCCTCTCAACTGTCAATGGAAGTTTCTCTCTGGCTCTTCATTTGTCATCAATGCATACATGTCGTTATTATCAATTCACCGTGAATGAACAATCGATAAGGGTTGGAAATGTTTCGAAATTGTGGAGCCAACTTTACATGAGAAGGAGAGTAGGGGGGAAAACAGAAGTGATTTATCCCATCACATCTTGGCTGTCATTTGAGCAAACTCTGTCAATGTTTCTCCCTGAACCCTCTAAGTTCATATAGCATTGCCCTTTGTCCCACCTTGATGACTCTCACTTCCAACTTTTATTATAACTTCGTGTGATTTCCTTCTGAGTTTAATGGCTTTACATTGTTTGATACTGTTACCTTTATTGCATTAACCAGCCTGAAAACTTTCGCAATGAGTGTTCTATAATTTAATTTCTTTTTCCCTCTAATTTCGGATCTTAACAGAAACCAAAGAAGAACCTGTAACAAAGAAGGCTTCCAGTGGGTCTATTGACAGGGGTGAGCGTACAGCACGAATCTTACTTATTCTATATCTTATAATTTTAAAACAACAGTAAAATATTTCAAAACCTTACCTGATCCTCAATCTTTTTACTTAGATATTGCTCTTGCGGAGGTTGAAAAAGAGAAAAGGTCTTCCTTCATCAAGGCCTGGGAAGATAGTGAAAAATCAAAGGCTGAGAACAAGTAAGGCTCAGTTTCCACTATGATTGTCTCATCTTGTCCTTTATTAAAAAGACCAGCAACTTTCCTTGCTCTAAATTCGTAGTTTAGAAACTACGACTCTCCACAATGGTATGATATTGTCTGCCTTGAGCATAAGCTCTCGTGGCTTTACTTTTTAGTTTCTCCAAAAGACCTCATACCGATGTTCCTTACTTATAAACTCATGATCTTCCTCTTAATTCACGAAGGTGGGACTGCTCCTTTAAATAATCCTCAACCATACAATTACTATTGTGTGTATTCATGTCTGCAATGAATCATGACAGAAATTTTTGTGTAATGGCTATTTAATAGGGCACAAAAGAAGCTCTCTTCTGTATCTGCATGGGAGAACAGCAAAAAAGCCAATCTGGAAGCTAAATTGAAAAATATTGAGGTAACCATTTATCCTTTTTCCTGTTCTTGGTGTTTAACAAGTAATTTTATTTGGAAATTCTGCTGATCGGCACGGGCAAGTGGTAAAGGCAACGGATATTGGTCCCGCTCGGATCGAGTAGCGATTGATACAGGGTTGTCTGTGCATAGACTTGAAATTTTCCTTTTAACGAGATGGAAAATTACAGGAACAATTGGAGAAGAAGAAGGGTGAATACGGAGAAAGAATGAAAAACAAAGTAGCTTTGATTCACAAAGAAGCAGAGGAAAAAAAGGCAATGGTGGAAGCACAACGTTCAGAGGAACTGCTGAAGGCGGAGGAGACGGCTGCCAAATTCCGAGCAACTGGAACCGTCCCAAAGAAATTTTTGGGATGTTTTTGAAAGTTTTATATGATGATCTCTTTATTTCTTATTATTATTATTATTAAAATGTGTCTTTTTCCTGTCTTTGTTTGTAAATCTTCGTGGTTGCCTGTGAATGCTTCTTCTTCGGTAACTCTTTATTATTTTTCTTCTGCTTTTGTCATTTTCTGTGTGTTGTTGTTCGTCTCTTCCTTTAAGTTCGATGTACAAAATAAAACTTATTTTTAAAAAATAAAAATTAATAAATTACATTTTGTTTTGAAATTTTTAAAATTTTGAGTATTCTTTATTATTTAGATTAAAGAATCTTGTTTTGCTCTATAGTATGGTATGGTAAATAACAATAATGAAATTTCATTTGTATACTAACTTTTTGAAATTTGATATACATCTAATTACATATTCGTGACTGTAAGAGCCTAAGAAGGAAACATTCATTATTCGTTATAAGGGTGTGTGTAACGTGTTTTCAAATGGTGAAGTTGAAGGCGATAATGTAATGGACTGAAATAGACAATATCTGTTAATCATAAACTTGAGCTCTTATAGTAGTGGCCAAAAGTGGTGTAGAGCTAGTGTACACCCCGGTTGATGGAGGAGGTTTGCCTCCCATAATTACATGGATCTTTTCTCACATAATTTTCTACATAATAGCAAGAGACAAGTTGTAGAATAGTAATACATGGTGAGAGGAGTGGTACTCAAAATAGGAGTTCAAAGCACTAACCATCGATGAGTGTACGATAAGGCCCTGAATTGGTAACCATATATGCTATCTACATACGAAACACTTGCTGCTGAGTAGAAATCTCCTTTCCAATTGCTTTTATAAGTTGCAGTGGAGAGATGCCTCCATGGAAACCGCTTTCTCTCAACACAGCTTCTAATCTAAAGCACAAAAAAAAAAAAAAAAAAAAAAAAAAAAAAAAAAAAAAAAAAAAAAAAAAAAAAAAAAAAAAAAAAAAAAAAAAAAAAAAAAAA